AACACCCTCGGTGTTACACTGTAAATCATTTACTAAAATATGCCATGAGCATCCTATTTGTGTGTTAATGCATGTGGTGAAATGAGTAGATGCAGTGTCGTAACGTAGAAGGATCAATAGAATGTTAATCGAAAAGTTATTTCATGATTCGCGTAATTATCAAGTAGGGTTGTAAACCAATTTTTATCGAACAAAAACAATATAGAACATATATGCAACACTTAAATAAAGTTGAAAGTACAAACTTTGTAGATGACAATGAAATATGTGATAAATAATGTTGCTAGCTTATATATTCTAAAGAAATGCAACTAGAAATAGAAAATTCAAGCACGTGATGTTTGTAATTTTTTTTTACCAATACCCTCTAAAGTATGGTGAAGATGGTTTGGGTGTTTAGCCAACCGATTAGTTGATTTGGACGCTTTAAAGAGCGCACGCCCTGGTTGGTTTTTGCGCGTCATCCCCATTATTCTCTATTAGGGCTTTGTCTGTAGTCCCGGTTACTCCCTTCGGTGCCGCATTTCGGAAGCACGATTCGCTCTTCTCGGAATGATTCCTAGTTCGATTGGTTCACTAATTTATATAGCGTTGATGAACTGGAATAGTTCCAGGGTCTAATCCAGACCAAACGAACGGGCCCTTATACACATGTACCTCTCTAAATCTACACCAAAGCCCACACAATCAAAGATTACCACCTCTCCGATCTCCTCCCTTGAGTTGACAATCACTTTCTTCTCCAACGATACCTAGCCCGTGAGACACTGCCTCCAAACCATCACTTGATACCTTCGCTATGCCGTCCTCTCACCTCACATGTGGATTGGATGGACTGCCAGCTCATTTCATTGGCACTGCTAGTCTAATAAATAAATCAACTCAAAGATTTGAACCAAATAGTTTATGGAAACATTTCATGAATTTTGTTTCTAGATTCGATAAATACAACATTTTTAGAAAATTTTGCAACAAAACTCTTTAAGAATATTTAACAAAAAAAAACAGAGGAACTTTTGTCTAGATTCAACTGAAAACACTTATTGGATATGTGCACCAAAACTTTCTATTTAAAAAATAAATATAAATTAGGGTTATTAAATACACCATATATAGCGGTAGTGTGTGGACCAAGAGAAAATAAGGAATTTTGAGTTCTTTTTTTCCTTTACTTATGTAATAAGGAAAACAATTCATGTCTTTGTGTGGTAAGGTGTTGCCATTATAGGCCTCAAAACAAGTTCTTGGTGGGATAAGGAAGGCGTTGTGCTCATGCTCCTGTATATAAGAAAAGATGGGCTTGTTTGGAACTCAAGCTTAAATCATTTTACCAATTTCAGCTAAAAAAAATACAGCATTTTGCCGCATCCCCATTATTCTCTATTAGGGCTTGTTTTTACTCTCATTGGGTGCCTCGGAATGATTGTTCCGATTGGTTCACTCCATGTCTAAAAAACGAACGGGGCCTTATACACTTGTACCTCTCTAAATCTAGGAAATTCAAAGATTGCTCGCATGAGTTGAGAATGGCGCTTGAACAACGCCTCCAAGGTCATCACTTGTATTTTTTTTGCACCTTTTGGATTGGAGTGGCTCAACTTGGGGTCTAATGATCAAAGATTTGAACCAAATAGTTTATGGAAACATTTCATGAATTTTGTTTCTAGATTCGATAAATACAACATTTTTAGAAAATTTTGCAACAAAACTCTTTAAGAATATTTAACAAAAAAAACAGAGGAACTTTTGTCTAGATTCAACTGAAAACACTTATTGGATATGTGCACCAAAACTTTCTATTTAAAAAATAAATATAAATTAGGGTTATTAAATACACCATATATAGCGGTAGTGTGTGGACCAAGAGAAAATAAGGAATTTTGTTTTTTTTTCCTTTACTTATGTAATAAGGAAAACAATTCATGTCTTTGTGTGGTAAGGTGTTGCCATTATAGGCCTCAAAATGGTGTGCAAGGCGTTGTGCTCATGCTCCTGTATATAAGAAAAGATGGGCTTGTTTGGAACGTAGCGAAAAAATTATGTTCCTACATTTTTCATGTGAAATTGAACTGATCCATGTGAAATTTCTGTATGATTCATAGGAAATTCCTGCTAAGTTCGTAGAATGGCGCTTGAACAACAGGTCATAGTAATTTTTTTGCAGTTTTGTAGTAGCGAACTTGGGGTGATGATTTGAAGCAGTGGCAAATTCGCAGTTTCCCCAAATATGAGCGAGGTACCCAGATGTTATGCATATTTAGTGAGAAGAAGAAATACTATTTGTTGTAGTTTTTACTACAAAACTGCAAGCCTGTGATCGATCGTCATGCTTAACCTGCCTGTGACTGTCATGTTTTATCTATCCTAGCATTATCTGTATATCTAAACCAAGTGGTGCACGCCTAGGGACGGATCAGGAGCCAAGAAGAAGAGACGCATTGCATGCATCCTGCACAGTGATGGCCAAGGCCACCACCCGGACGGGACCTGGATCTACTACGGTCAACTCAAAAAGGCTTGCTTGGTTGGTACTTGTAGCCCCATCGGTTCCGAGTTTTGACTTTTGTGAGTTGTGCTGACCGACGCGAGTCAGTCAAGAAAAGGATTGTTGAGGAGCTAGGCTCCATGCATGTCCATGTGGGTGAATAAGAAAAAACAATGAGCATCCTCCTCTTGCATGCATGTGTACCTTGACAGGGAATTAGAGAAACTTCGCAGCGCCATCGGTCACTCATGTGGCTGGTGCCCCCCAGTGGTTGCATGCGGCGTTGTTTAATTAGCCCCTCCCTCCCTCCCAGGGGCGCTCGTGGTCCAGCTGCCCAAATCGCAAAACAAAGCTGGAGCTGGAGCCACAGCCAGGACGCGAGCGCGATGGATGCGGTTGTTGGGGACGGGGACGGGACCGAGGGCGATGCGGCGCGGTCCGTGCGGAGGGAGAACACACGGAAACTGTCGGCGGCGGCTGCCTCTGCTGTGCTCGGTTGGCAGGCCAATTCAGAAAGCGCGTGGAGCGGACGAAAAGGGACGGACGTGGAGGCGTTTTTACGTCGTGACGACTGACTCGTGAGCCACGGGATCCTCGTGCGGCACGTACTGTACGCCCGTCCACACCACACGCCTGCGGGCGTTTCCGTCCCTCGCCAGTAGTCGCCCCATAGCTGTCGGTCATGGACTCATGGTAACCTGCCTTCCTAATTAATAATAACACAAAATGTTCTACTGAAACGCATCACCACAGGACTCCTACTTGGCCATGCATGTCTCAGTTCATTTTTATACAGCTACCAGACGAGCTGAATTTTACAAGTAGTCATGATCTACCGGTAACTAATTAGTAATTACTAACATTGTCCGGTCTTGCATCTATTTGCGATGTACCATTTGTTTTGTCATTCACTACGCTGCATGCCACCACGCCATTAAGCTAGCCCACATGACAGAGTAGTGGTTAAGTTGGATAAAATAGAGCATTACTCACATGCACCACACCTAATGACACTTGACCTACCACATCCCCATGCCTTGATTCTCGTTACCCTTTTTTAGTATCTTTATTATTATATTAGGCTCATGATAGTGCCACGATGTAGAATAGAATAGAAGCAAAAAATATGTTTCCATTCCTATGCTGCACCTCACTGTTACTGTGCTCCGGTGACTGAGCCCTATCAGTGTCAAAGCGGAGCGCCCCCTCCCCCGCAAAGTATGGGTGATCCAAAACACAATATTTATTTAATTTATGTGCCTCGAGAAACTCCTTTAATTTTGACTTGCCAAGTGGCGCTCTATTGTTTATCACTACTACTCTATCTCCATCATCCACCACACCATATCTTGTCTTAATTATCTCTGTGAAGTCAAGGTTGACACTCTACTCCAATGTGGAAGGCCACTAGCTGGTTGCCTCCCATTTTGACACCATGATGAAAGAGCCCTAACTAGATTTTTGAGGTGACTGTGGTAATACAAAACTAAATCTACCTTAATGGAATGCAGGTGATAAATACAAGAATAAGCCTACTTTTAGAAAATACGGGTAGTAATGGAAAACACATCTTCCCTAGCCTAGCGCACCGACATGAAATTAATATATACAAATGGAAGCATATTAAGATAGCATGAACAATGGAACATGCATTCAAAAAACGATCTGACTAAACGCAACAACATGCCATAGGTTCGTCATCATCTCAACACCATACCAATGAGCCCATTGCCACCATCCATGGCGGTGGTGGCACGAGCTGTGATCTCAGGCATATACATTGTTGGAGAAAAAACAGATGCAGGGCTTGCAAGGTTTTCTTAACCCGCAATGTGTTAATTAATGGTTATAAACGGGTCTAAAACTCTATATGGTCAATTGTATTGTCGAGTAATTTGATGAAAACCTTAGTCGAACCTCTTTTTTCAACAGAAATTCCATACCCAAGTTAGCATCAGGTGTCGCTATTATCTTCCCTTAATCCTTGTCCAGGCCAGCAAGGCACAGTAGTTAAGCTGATCAGACACTCTACCAACCTTCCCCCCTCTCCTCTCTCTCTCTCTCATACTACTGTCAGTCATCGTCATCAGTCCATTAGTTGCCGTTTTGATGCTGCACCGACACCGACACTTTCTCTCTCCCCCCTCTCTCACCCCCTCCTTTTCTTTAGACAAAAAAAAAGAAAAGAAAAAGAAAAGCCCAGCCCGGCTAATCAGCAGCAGCTGGTAACAACGCGGTGGTTGCGCTGCTCTGCTCTCCAAGCAACACACCACACCAACGCGGCGCGGCGTTATTATACCACCACACCACCCACCCATCCCACAGCTCATACCAGAGCAGCCGAGCAGCGCAGCGCAAGCCCAGAGCGGCGCCGCGCGCACGCAGTGCCCCCACCACCTCCCTTGCTGCCTGCGCGCGCATGTGAGCGGCCGCCGCGGGGAGACCAGGCCAGAAGGGGGAGAACTACCTACATTTCCCTGTGCCGCCGCCGCGAGATCCGGCGGGGGCGCCAGAGATGGAGGCGAGCGCGGGGCTGGTGGCCGGCTCGCACAACCGGAACGAGCTGGTGGTGATCCGCCGCGAGTCATCAGGAGGCGCGGGCGGCGGAGTCGTAGGCGGCGGGGGCGCGGCGCGGCGGGCGGAGGCGCCGTGCCAGATATGCGGGGACGAGGTCGGGGTGGGCTTCGACGGGGAGCCCTTCGTGGCGTGCAACGAGTGCGCGTTCCCCGTCTGCCGCGCCTGCTACGAGTACGAGCGCCGGGAGGGCTCGCAGGCCTGCCCGCAGTGCCGGACCCGGTACAAGCGCCTCAAGGGGTGCCCGCGCGTGGCGGGCGACGAGGAGGAGGACGGCGTCGACGACCTGGAGGGAGAGTTCGGCCTGCAGGACGGCGGCGCCGGGGGACACGACGACGACCCGCAGTACGTCGCCGAGTCCATGCTCAGGGCGCAGATGAGGTACGGCCGCGGCGGGGACGCGCACCCCGCCGGCTTCGGCCCCGTCCCCAATGTGCCGCTCCTCACCAACGGCCAGATGGTACACTCCTGCTCCTCTGCTGCTTGCATTGCTTGCTTTCGGTTGAGATTGAACTCGATCGTGACTGAAATGCTCACTGCGTCTGTACTGTAGGTTGATGACATCCCGCCGGAGCAGCACGCGCTCGTGCCGTCCTACATGGGCGGCGGCGGCGGCGGGGGCAAGAGGATCCACCCGCTCCCCTTCGCAGATCCCAACCTCCCAGGTGCGTGATTGACGGCGCTGTTTGATGTCGGAATCTGCCAATGCCAATGCCATAATGTCTACCCGTGTGCTGATGACCGTCTTGGTGCTCCCGCAGTGCAACCGAGATCCATGGACCCGTCCAAGGATCTGGCCGCCTACGGCTACGGCAGCGTGGCCTGGAAGGAGAGGATGGAGGGCTGGAAGCAGAAGCAGGAGCGCCTGCAGCATGTCAGGAGCGAGGGTGGCGGCGATTGGGATGGCGACGATGCAGATCTGCCACTGTATGTGCTGTGCTCATCCACGCTTGTGTTGACTATTAGTTGTTCCTACCACTAGCTGCTTTGGTTACTTTCCTTTGGGTGCTGAGTGCTGACGGTGCGCTACAGTCTGTATGCTTACTGAAGTTACCTGATGCCAGCTGCTTGCACTAGTAGATATCTAATGAGCTACAAGAGTGCGATGTACACTTTTATTAAACTGCTAATCTCCAGCTAGGCACACATAAAAGTGACATCCATTTTCATTAGGCAGTACAGGGTTATGGTATTTAATCACAGTATATCTAAAATTCTGCAGGTATGTTTGTAGCTTTGTTATTACTTGCTACATTGCTAGATGCCGCACAACTATATGAGTTGGAGAGAAACCAGAATACAAGCTCAACTGTTTATGCAATTCTGAATTTGTAGACTAAGATGATACATCACCTATATGGAATTTTTGTATGTGGTGTATTTGTTGCTTCATTTCATCTTAATTTTTTTCATTATGGTCGTTGCCTGTATATTCATAGAAACCTACATAGTGGTGTAGATAATTTTGCATTGCATTTTAAGATCTTATCTTTATCTTTTAAGTCATCTGCAAAGTAGTATTTGATAAGGCCAACTTATGCCCTTTCTTTTCGTAGAGTATTACTAGTATGTGGTTCTAAAATGTTCTGTAAATTTCTTGTGCAGAATGGATGAAGCTCGGCAGCCATTGTCCAGAAAAGTCCCAATACCATCAAGCCGAATCAATCCCTACAGGATGATTATTGTTATCCGGTTGGTGGTTTTGGGTTTCTTCTTCCACTACCGTGTGATGCATCCGGTGAAAGACGCGTTTGCATTATGGCTCATATCTGTTATCTGTGAAATCTGGTTTGCCATGTCCTGGATTCTTGATCAGTTCCCAAAGTGGCTTCCAATTGAGAGAGAGACTTACCTGGACCGTTTGTCGCTAAGGTTAGTTGCATCATTGCATGATGAATGGAATAAATGCTTGCCCTATTTTCTTTCTAAAATTCCAAAGCTAAGAAGTTCATTGTTTCGCTGACCAGGTTAGACAAGGAAGGTCAACCCTCTCAGCTTGCTCCAATTGACTTCTTTGTCAGTACGGTTGATCCCTCTAAGGAACCTCCCTTGGTCACAGCGAACACTGTCCTTTCCATCCTTTCCGTGGATTATCCGGTTGAGAAGGTCTCCTGCTATGTTTCTGATGATGGTGCTGCAATGCTTACATTTGAAGCATTGTCTGAAACATCTGAATTTGCGAAGAAATGGGTTCCTTTCTGCAAAAAGTTTAATATTGAGCCTCGTGCTCCTGAGTGGTACTTCCAACAGAAGATAGACTACCTGAAAGACAAGGTTGCCGCTTCATTTGTTAGGGAGAGGAGGGCGATGAAGGTACAATGTTTATCCTGTGTTATGCTTTTCTGTGCAATTTCCTAACTTGTATGAACTGGCTAGTTACATGGTTTTGTTTTTCATTCAGAGAGAATACGAGGAATTCAAGGTAAGGATCAATGCCTTGGTTGCAAAAGCCCAAAAGGTTCCTGAGGAAGGATGGACAATGCAAGATGGAAGCCCCTGGCCTGGAAACAACGTACGCGATCATCCTGGAATGATTCAGGTAGGTGTTTATTGTCCTTGGTGTTATAATACATGCTAGTACAGTTATCGTTGCCTTTGTTTTCTTCGAACTGAAAGTTTGTTCGACTTAACGTCAAAATGCTCAAATTTCTGCGTCAACAGGTATTCCTTGGCCAAAGTGGTGGTCGTGATGTGGAGGGAAATGAGTTGCCTCGCCTTGTTTATGTCTCGAGAGAAAAGAGGCCAGGTTATAACCATCACAAGAAGGCTGGTGCCATGAATGCACTGGTAAAATCTCTGCACTTGATGTCTTTTATCATTCTTCTTGTAACCTAATGGCAGTTCTTGATTGATGCTTTGTTTTTCTTTTGTGTTCATAATTGATAGGTCCGTGTCTCTGCTGTCTTGTCAAATGCTCCATACCTATTGAACTTGGACTGTGATCACTACATAAACAATAGCAAGGCCGTAAAAGAGGCTATGTGTTTCATGATGGATCCTTTGGTGGGGAAGAAAGTGTGCTATGTCCAGTTCCCTCAGAGGTTTGATAGTATTGACCGTCATGATCGATACGCTAACAGGAACGTCGTCTTTTTTGATGTAAGATTCAGCTTCCCTGTTCCAACACCTTAAGCTCTTCATTTTGTTGTCCATGTCACATAGGTTTTCTAACACTTGCCTCATACAGATCAACATGAAAGGTCTGGACGGTATTCAAGGACCCATCTATGTGGGTACTGGATGTGTTTTCAGACGGCAGGCACTGTATGGTTATGATGCTCCTAAAACAAAAAAGCCACCATCAAGAACTTGCAACTGCTGGCCCAAGTGGTGCCTCTCTTGCTGCTGCAGCAGGAACAAGAATAAAAAGAAGACTACAAAACCAAAGACAGAGAAGAACAAAAGATTATTTTTCAAGAAAGCAGAAAACCCTTCTCCTGCATATGCTTTGGGTGAAATTGAGGAAGGTGCTCCAGGTATTGTCAACCTTTCAAACATAGCTTACAACAGCACTGTTAAAGTTAAAAAAATCAGGACAGTTCTTCTGTTCAACCATTTCATGTTCACTTCACTACCTGTTATGTAAATGCATGAAAGCATTTCTGTTTCTATTTGACACTTGTGAATAACATATCACTGTTCTCCAGGTGCTGACATTGAGAAGGCTGGAATTGTAAATCAACAGAAACTAGAAAAGAAATTTGGGCAGTCTTCTGTTTTTGTTGCATCAACACTTCTTGAGAACGGTGGGACCCTGAAGAGTGCAAGTCCAGCTTCTCTTCTAAAGGAAGCTATACATGTTATCAGCTGCGGCTATGAAGACAAGACTGACTGGGGAAAAGAGGTCTATATACCATATAACCTGATTCAAAGACTTTTGACTACTCTACTAAAGATATATGGTACTAAGTAGATCATTGTTTCTTGCAGATTGGCTGGATTTATGGATCAATTACAGAGGATATCTTGACTGGATTTAAGATGCACTGCCATGGTTGGCGGTCTATTTACTGCATCCCGAAGCGGCCTGCATTCAAAGGTTCTGCACCTCTGAATCTTTCTGATCGTCTTCACCAGGTCCTTCGTTGGGCTCTTGGATCTGTTGAAATTTTCTTCAGCAAGCACTGCCCACTTTGGTACGGATATGGTGGCGGGCTAAAATTTTTGGAAAGGTTTTCTTATATCAACTCTATTGTATATCCCTGGACATCCATTCCTCTCTTGGCTTACTGTACCTTGCCTGCCATCTGCCTGCTCACGGGAAAATTTATCACACCAGAGGTAAATATATATTATCCTTATTAAAAATAAAGAGAAAAAAACTGGTTTTATTCTTGAATCTTACCGTCAACTTTGCTTCAAATTGCAGCTTACCAATGTTGCCAGTATCTGGTTCATGGCACTTTTCATCTGCATCGCTGTCACTGGCATCCTTGAAATGAGATGGAGTGGTGTGGCCATCGATGACTGGTGGAGAAACGAGCAGTTCTGGGTCATTGGAGGTGTTTCTGCACATCTCTTCGCTGTGTTCCAAGGTCTTCTCAAGGTCCTTGCCGGTATCGACACGAGCTTCACCGTCACATCAAAGGCCGGGGACGATGAGGAGTTCTCAGAGCTGTACACATTCAAATGGACCACCCTGTTGATACCTCCCACCACTCTTCTCCTGCTGAACTTCATCGGGGTTGTGGCTGGAATCTCGAATGCCATCAACAACGGGTACGAGTCATGGGGTCCTCTCTTCGGGAAGCTCTTCTTCGCGTTCTGGGTGATCATCCATCTGTACCCGTTCCTCAAGGGTCTGGTGGGAAGGCAGAACCGGACGCCGACGATCGTGATCGTCTGGTCCATCCTGCTGGCCTCGATCTTCTCGCTCCTGTGGGTCCGCGTCGACCCGTTCCTCGCCAAGAGCGATGGTCCTCTTCTGGAGGAGTGTGGTCTGGACTGCAACTAAAGATGAAGAGGCCGTCACTCAAAGTTCTGTCGCAGGCGAATTATGCCTGATTTTTTTGGAATTCTTTCCTGTAGATAGAAACACAGATCCCAGGCATTTCTTCTGTGTGTCCATGGTGAGGCTGTGACATCTCTGAGCTTTTTTACCGAAGACTGTCCATGCCTGCTGCTGGTGGTTCTTCAACATTCTTATCCGAGGAAAAGTGTGAGTTGAATTGAATCTTTCAGGCAGCAGCAGGGATTGATCTGCCAGCCACCGCGGGGCAGGAGAAAGGTGCCAAGTGTTTGTTGAGTAAATTAAAGTTTAAGTTATACACAGTCATGCACATTCCAGAGTATGTCCTGCCCATTGTATTCCCCATTTACAGTTGTATATTAGCAACAAGAACAGATTGGTTAGGAGTTGATTCTTTTTAGCAATGATGTGTCCCGCCCTTGTGTTGTAAAATCCGCCGCCCATTCGCCCAAAACCGCGGTGGGCGGTGCTGTTTGCTGCTTCTGTGATCGTATAGAAACGAAACCCTTGTTGTTCTTTGACATTTTGAACTTTGTTGAAGGAAAGGAAGGTTGGAATGGAACACCTGGTCCGTGAGACCGTGAGTCCCACTCCCATCAGTCCCATTTGTGTGTCTCTGTCTCCCCCCCTTTTTTTTCTCTTCTGGAATGGAGTGGAGCTACAGCAGGAGCCAGGAGGCCGCCTCGCCCGAACCGGAGGCACCGGGCTGCCACCAAAACGTCCAAAGCCTAGAGCCGTAGAGCGGCATCGGCGCTGCCGCGCTGCGACCGACCAAACCGCCAAGCGAGACCGGGGGCATGGGCACCGAAAGCCGCCGCAGCAGCAGCCGTGGCTTCCTGCCCTGCAACGGTGCCGGTGCACGTGAAAAGCTGCCTGGTTCGCGGGGACCTGGCCGCCTGGGCCCTGGGTTCACGCGGCGGAAGGAAGTGCGTGCATGTGCATGTGAGGCTGGCCGGCGCTGGCTGCGTTTGGGCATGGCGCCGTGACTGACGCGTCGGGGACTGGAGCTGTCCTGTCGGACGTACTCGAGTCACGGGGACGGCGGGGCCGCGGTGCTGGCTCACCAGCACCAGCGAGAGCAGGGTATGCAGCGGGCGCGAATTTGGGAAAGGGGACCAGGCGACCAGCGAGTTACCCGCCATCCATCTGCGAATTTTGGCCATGCCGCGGCGGAACACCGGCAGCAAAACCGCAAAAAGTAGTCGGATGGAGAAAGCCTGCGACCCGGGGAGATTGTTCGGCGGAGCAAGCAAGCCCACTGGACTGACACGGACGGCGGAGTAGCATTCCTTGGGCTTTCGGCTTCCCGTAGAAGCGCGCAAGGTTTTTCGTTTTTGGTACTTTTGCAGGAGGACGACCTTCATGACCCTATTTAGTATGCCGCACCCAACCGTGGGTTAATTCTCTTGCGACGTGCTAAAAAATCATAAACACTATAAAAAGAGGGAAACATCTAACCGTTAATTTGGTAGATTCACTAATCACCGTCAATAATAATAGCCAATTTATATAGCATTATTTTGTTTTCTAAGAAGTAGTCTACCTTTGCTGAAAGTAATCTAAAATTTAAAATTACACTAAATTTGTATATAATTATCTTGATGCAAATTACCTACCTCTCCTATGAGTGATATATATAGACCAGACCACATACATAAGCATGCATGCAGGAAGAGATGAGTATAACGATGTCGGTAAAGAAGTTCATCAGTTTGATCGTATATATCTATAAGCATGCATGCAGGAAGAGATGAGTATAACGATATCCATGAACACATTCCTCAGTTTAAAGATTTCAACTAATAAACAAATGACAAACACATCGAAATGTGATTCAGAATGGAAAAACTATGAGTGGGATGAAAAAACATACAAATAGTAATTGCAACAATTAGGTCTCTTAAAATTACTAGCCCATGGCTCCAAGCTTAGCATGGGTTTGATGGATCAAATTAGTTGCTTTTGTTCTTTGTAATATTTAAACTTTAGGGCTTGCCTGTATCGCTCGTATATGTAATACTAGATATATGTCCGTGCGTTGCATTGGGGCTATGAATGTTTGTTCACGCCTACAACGACAGATTTGCTGAAAACAATCAAAATTAATAAATAGTTTTGTATTAGAAACCCTTAACTTTTTTCAAATTTGTTGAGTCTTTTTTCATTAGTTATTATTAAATTCTAATATTTTTAAATTTAATCATGCATGTTTGTTGCAACGGAAAAAAATAATGCCATGATAATTCAAATTTCAGCGTAGGGATAGTGATGGTAGGCCTCTTTTTCGTGGCGGGTAGACCTAAATATTTGAATTTTTTTGTTGTAATAATAATATAATAAAGACTCATGATAATCTAAATATGTAACTGTGAGAAATATAATTTTGAGATAATTATGTTCAATCTTAAAGAACAACAATCATGTTGAATCTTAAGGTACTGTTATGGTTAATCGTCTAATATTTGTGACCAAACTGGAATGTGGTTGTCTATAGTGACTGTCTCAAATCTGAAATTGCATGTTAACTTTTGTCTTAATTAGCAAATAATATTGACAGAGGAATACTTGTTGATCATAATACTAAATAAATTTTCAGATTGCTCAAGACATATATGAGCATGGTATACCCTGTCTGCACTCTATAGTACATCATCATAATAATCTTCATCTAATTCTCACCCAGCTATCTCACTTTGTCAAACGAATTAAGTGAACAATACCAATTGGCAAGCAGGACCCAATAACGATGGACAATTCACGGGATGAATGTTATGTCGAACTCAACAAATGTGCAAGATACTTGCGTTTGTCCTTGCAAATTCTGCTCAGTTCAGTTCAGAAGAAAGGTCTGCTCCCATAGAACAACTTTGTCCCATCCTTCTTCGCCTGCTTCCGCTCGATCACCTTGTTGTCGGGCGTCTCTTCCTTCTAGACGACGCCGCCAGCAGCCGCTGCCGAGCTCGATCGGCAGCTACATCTTGGCCAGCGATTTGCTGAACTGCTGCATGCTCTTCATTTACATCTCCATGATCTTCCGCTGCATCGTGCTCTGCTCCGCCTCCATGTCGATGTCCATGCCCCCAGCGGCGACGCGAACACGTCGACCTTGGCCTTCTCACTGACACTGCACGACGTCGGCGTGTCCGGCGAGCGGAAGGACACGAGGCCCTGTCCCCGCTGACCGTGTTGAGGTATCTGCGTGGCGAGGTGCGTCCGACGCGGACCCTGCTGATCGGAGCCGACCCGGCGACGCCAGATGCAGGAGAGCGCGCGGGGTGTCCGACACGGTGTCGAAGTAAAGCCGGGTCCTTCTGTTGCGGGCGATATGCAGCGGATGCGAGGAGATTAATTAGCGCACACGACGATGACGCTAATTATTTTTTAGGTGTGTATGTATAGATTTCCTTCGTCCTAGAAACCCTGATGTTGTAGGATTCAAATTTTACCCCCAAAAAACATGACGTTTTGGCTCTTGGGGCCATATCAGTCCCTGTTCGTTTGGGCTGGTTTGGCTTATAAGCCATAGCTGAAAGTACTATTGGCTAGTTTGGTGTGAGAGAAAAATACTGTTCGTTTGCTGATAAGCAATGGCTTATAAGCCAAATACGCCCAAACGAATATGATGCATATCGTAGTTTGCATGCCTCCACTCGATAGGCTGCATATTGTAGTTTGCATGCCTCCACTCGATGCATTCCTTTTAATTAACAACTTATTTCTTAATTAGCATGGATTACCTACAATGAATAGGGGTATATTTATGAGTAATTTTAATTGAACGCTACTCTGTCCTATATAAAATTCCTAAAACATCACTTTTGGGATAGAGGGAGTACATGCAAAGTGGTGCCAACTTGTCGCGCATGCATGTCTTCACAAGCAGCGCCAGCTCCTACGCAGAAAAGGAATTTCGAGGCCCTGGCTCGTGGCTTCATTCGCCCCCGGAGCTAGGTAGGCATGTCCGCATCTCCGAGGTGTCCAGTCCACCAGTTCTCTCCTCTCTAACTCTAGCTCGGGTTGCGATCGCGACAGAAAGTGGCCAGGCATCTCGTAGGTGTCCGCATGCACGTTGTGGCCTTGTGGGGGTGCGTGCGTTCGACCGCTACTGTCACATCCGATTTTTACGATCTCATCCATAATCTTATGTACGTAGAGACCAGTCACACACATAAACTGATAAATTATAGATAATATCATCATAAGTGTTTATTACGTAATGTATAATAAGACAGAGTCTTCGTATAAATGTAGCGGAAGTATAAAGAAAAATCTATCGCGGAAGCTCCATAACACAGGGACGTCAACTGGTTGACCATAAGTCTAGTAATTCTCAGAAAAGTCGTTATTACCATAGTCATCTGTTACCCATCTGAAATTTTTATCCACATAATAAAAATAAACAAGCGTAAGTACGTGTCGTACTCAACAAGTGTAACATGGGTTCATGAGACTCAAAAAGCTTGACACAGATTTAACAGCATTTAGCTTTTAGTTGTTACAATTTTAACATAAGAGTAGCAACGAGTTGTCATAATCCCAATTGAAACATATGATAAATGTAAACAGGAGTAATGAATAGCATAAACGAATAATTAATAGTGATCATCTATTTTATAAGGGTTCAAAGACCGCTCGTGACCGTGAGCACGACTGATATACCAGTTTTACACTCTACAGAGGTTGTACACTTTCACTGTGAGTCGTGATATCCATATGCCCGGGTTAATTACTCCCAAAACACTTCCAAGGTGAGTAGGCATGATTCACTATGAAGCCTTTCAAATATTCGTCTAACAAGTTAGGGCCATTAGATTCACCCGGCAAACAGATGTAGAGTCCCCCTTTCCGATGGCACAATGACGCGTAGCCTATACATAAGGAGACAGAGGCCGCACTATACCCGATTCGTTAAGCTATTTTTACTCCAATAAAGGTAATCTCTAACAAGTTAGAAAATGTCTTCACACAGAGCTAAAGCCAGAACCATGTGGCCCTCACAGCTGTACTGTAAGTCCCGGATGATCACTTATAGATAAGTTCTTAGGGAAAGGAATCTGAAGCATTTAGAAAGTAGCTAAATACTCCAGCCCCCTATTTCCAAGTTGCTAAAAAGTTATGTTTTAATGTTTATTACATATACCATTAGTCAAGTTACAATATCATGGTTTAGTTGAGCACTAGCAAAACTACCCAATGCATATCCCATAGGAGACAAGGTATAAGTTTAATTCTAGGGAATCCCTATCAAGGTGACACATGCAACATGAATTAAATGTATTAAAGTTGATAGGAAACAAGAATAATCACATGCTATACTTGCCTTCAACAAAGTGTTCCTGCTGATCCTGCTCGTCAAAGTAATACTCTTGATCACCTACGAATTGCTCACCGTCTATACTCGATAATCACAGCAACATACAAGCATCCAGAAGCAATCATGCATAGCAAACAATGACTATAGATTAGAACAGTACACCAGCAGCATAAAATCAAGATAAAAAGTTTGTAAAACGAATCTACGTCTCGCTATGAACACACAGACACGAAGATCACAAAAATCGAAGCTAAGACGAAGAAGTTATGAATTAAATAAGATTTCTTTTATTAAAATAATAGATTAAATCTAACCTCGAATTTCAAAAGTTGAAAACATACCTAACAGTGGCCCCGTTTGGCTTGCCCCATATCCGTCTTGTTCGGCTTTTTTTCTCAGCTGGAACAGTGTTTTTCTATCACAACAATTTAGCCAGAACAGTGTTTTCCAGCCAATTTCAGCCAAAATTCAGCCAGTCGAACGGGGCCAATGAACATGTAGTTTACGCAATTACGAATCTAATGCAACTTGAACGGATAAATCGGAGTTAAAACGAAGATTTTGGGGCTAAAACAAGCTTAGTGACAAAACTGTAAATAGCTGAAAGCGTATTTTGGATCTAACCGAAGAAACTACGTTGCCAAAAGAAGAAAACGTATTTTAGGAATACGCTTTGGACCGTGGGTTAAAACATAGAATCTTGTAGGGGCTCTTTTGCAAATCTCCCGGCCGAATCGGTATTACGTGATCTGAGCCGTTGGATCGATGATGGACGGTTCAGAATAGATGGGAGCGAGGAAAGGCTGCCGACGGCGAACTGACGGCGGCGCCATGGCCGGTGATGAACGGCGCCCTTAGAACATGGCCTACGGACCACGAGGAAGCAAACCGAGGGCACCGGGAGAAAGAGGAAGGGAGGGCAAACTCACCAAGGTGGTTAACCGTGGTGCGGAGCGAACGAAGACGGCACGGCGCTCCGTGAGGCGGACAGCTCGACGGCGGCTCTAGGGTTTCGTGGTGGCGTGGCTTGAGCGAAGGCGGCTGCTGTTCTGGAATGGAATAGGGAGGCGGCACGGTGCGGCCATTATTTATGGTGGGGAAATACTTGGAGCACACGCCAAGAACCGAGGCGTGGCGGTGGCGGAGTCGGGCGGCGGTAGAATCTGGCGTGGACTCATCTCGGGGAGGAAGAAGGCGCCGCTGACGCGTGGGGCCGGGCTGTTTGTGACACACGCGGGGGAGAGGGGAACGACGCTAGCGCGGCTGCTGCTGGGCCGGCCTGTGGGATGGGCCGCGGGGAAAGTGGGCCGCGCAGAAGGAAAACTGGTGCTGGGCTGCTGTGGCGGAGGGGAAACCAGGCCGGCGGGTGACTGGGCCGCGAGGAGTAGGCAAGGCCGGGCTAGGCCAGAAGAAGAAGGAAGAATTTTTTTTTTCAAATCCAAATTCCAACCAAATTCAAATTTTTTGCAAATTTTGATCAAACCCAAGCATCACAAAATAAATATGCATTAGCATGAATGCACAAACATGTAGGTAGACCTTATATTTGATTTTAATTTTAACAAAGTTTTTATTTTTCTAAATTTAAATACTCACAAAATACATAATTAAATTATTTTCTCGTATTTTAAAATAATGTAAATTTCAGGGAGTTACAGCTGCTACAGGAGCAGGATGCCGATGAGGCGATGATGGCACTGGCCCATTGGAGCTAGAGCCACGCACGGCATCTCCATCTCCTCACGTATTCTCTTCCCGGCCGGTCGCTTTCTTTGGCCGGATGGACAAAGCCAGGGACAATGGTGCGAAAAGGAGGCAGAAGGAATAAGAAGGCGACGTTACGTTGACAGCGAATGCATGGGATGGGATTACTATTTGCATGCAGAGTTAAGTGGTTAACTGCTAATATTAGTGAGGAGCAATAATGGCGCCACCGCCTCGCCTTCTCCAGTTCCTTGCCGTGCTGCTCTTCCTGTCGGTGGTTCTGCTGCTCCTGGCCGTCTCCGGTGTTCATGCAACTCGTCATCACCACGCAGATGTCATCGGTGGCGAACACCGCGTAGGTACGTCGTACATACGTGCGCCTCGCTCTCTAGCTCCCTACTCCGTGCTACTTTTTAATTTCGCCCAGGTGGCCGGCCTCCAGGCCGTCGATCGCTTGCTCTCACCTTCAACTTTACACGAGTGTTGTTTGGATGCCGCCGCAGGCTTCGGTGGCCCGATGGTGGTCTAGGACCGTCGTCAGATTCGGCAGCGGCGGCCACGGACACGGCCGGGAACACGGCACAGGCGACGACGGCCACGGCACGGCGGGGTCGCCGTTCTACCCTCGCACGGTCACCGGCCACGGTCACCATCGGAGCACCGCCGCGCCTGCGACGGGCCGACGGCCATCCGCCGTGGCCGCTCGCGCCCTGCTGCTCGTCGTGGCGGCTGCCGTAGTTCTGTGTTACGATACCGGCGGAATGGATAGAGATACCGGCGTACACGTGCGGCGAGCGAGCCGGGCGGCGCCGTCTCGGTAGCAGAAAGGCTACAGGAAGAAGAGGAATAGGAATTTTGTTTAGTTAATTCTCTGACCGTCCAACCACCCAACACAACGAGTTCTTAACCTAGAATAAAACACGATAACGGGCCAAGTCCAATAGTTACACCCCTACGACGTACCAGCCGGCCTACGGATCCATTAGCTAGTGTAGACCAAACACAATGCTCAGCATAAGGCCCATGCGGCTGCTGCATCTTTGATGATCTCGTCACCCTGCATTAATTACTCGTCGGCTGTGCATATGTGTACATATCTCTCTCCACCTAGCATTCATCTGTTTTGATGATTGATATTATATATATGGATTGTTATACGTGTTGCACATCTCCACGTACACTTTATTCTACAACGATTGAAAATTGAAGCACAACATGATCTTATTTCCATAATTCACGAACGGAAAGATATATATAATAAGCGCAGCTGGATCGGTGTTCGAGTCGAATCCACCAAAATCTTGCAGCATGGATTTCTCGACCGTGCCTAGACACATGTATTTCATTATTAAGAAGAAGTAGAAAAACATTAAACTACACTTTCAATTGTGAGCGCCGAGCTTACTAAAGAGGAGGATGACCGGAAAAAAAAAAAAAAGAACTAGAGAAAAGAGAATCGAAAGCATGGATATAGAAAAATTGCGTTTATATGGAAATGAGACGACCTGTTGCCATAATCAGATGCCGGAGCCCGGAGCTGGACAGAGTTACTCTGAATTGCTTCCATGTATGCTACCATACGTAGTAGTATATATTAATACACCACCAAGATGATTTGTGCCCGAGTCAATAATAGTCATCCATCAATCCATCAGGCACCATGGATCACCGACCCAGCTGCAGGAACCCATGGCTTCCTCTGCTCCTCCTCGTCTCCGTTGTTCTCGTCCTCCTCTCTTGTGCACTCCATGCCACGGCGGACTGCAGCACGGAAATAGGCAAGCGATCGACCGCGCGCTGCTCTCACTATATAAACATCTCCCAGCAGTTTTTCTTTTTTCTTCTGACTTCTAAAGTTTGCATCGACATGCATGCAGGCACTAACGAGGCGCAGACCGACAGCGGGAACGGCGGCGACTGCCACGGCCGCAACCACACCCACAGCCACGGCCACCACGGCGGCAGTAGCGGCGGGAAAGACAAGCCTGGGACGACGCCGGCCGCCGCCTCCAACTCCAACAACCCTTGGGTCCTGACGGCAGGGGCAGCACCGCGGCCTCAAGTAGTGTCCGGGTTCACGGCAGCCACCGGCGTCATCGTCCTCGTCACCGGAGCCGCCGTTTCTTGGTCGCTTACAACTTATTAGTTTATCACTTTTCCGGTATGTGGTTTAGTGGTAGTTTGTGGTCAGTCGATGTGTTAGGAGTTGTTCCATTGAGTCTTTGTATCCCTAGTTGTAGGGCGTTAATTGTTTTTGCATTACAACATATTAATATTTTGTCCTTGTCTAACTATAGAAAAAAATATGAATTATTAATTATCTTTATGTCAACAAATATTAAATTTTGTCAGGTTTGTGGTTTTACCTATCGGATTTTTTATTCTCAGATCCGAAAAGTACAAATTATACCTACAGAAATTGCAACGGCTCAAATTTTAATATAAAATATATGTAATAATTGCCTAAAAGAAAGCCACAATTTAGACACCTGAATTTTAGCAACTCCCTTGGTTTATATATATATATAAATATCCTATAATGTATGCCGATTACGATTATGATCAATTTCCCATTGACAAAGATGAATTGTACATGGAGTGATGTCTTCCAACAGTCTCATGGCAAACTATTTTATGTCAGTTGATGAGCATCTATCGTTCCTTCAATCTTGGTCTGACTTCTCTCCTACACAGCGTTGGTGACTTGGTGTGCAGTGTGCTCATTCCCTGCATCACCCGAAGTCCGAACTATGCACTCACCATGCCCAGCACGCCTCACATCCGTGCCAATTTTCAAGCTGGCAATACGGAAACTGCACGGTTATTCAGGCCGTATAGTCCGGCAAAAGATTAGTAGAAAGGACTGCCACTCCGACGATCTCCTTCTCTTTAGGCCCTCCACAGTGTGGAGGAGTAATGCCAGAGAAAAATTGGAAACCACGTCACGGAGTAGGCATCGACGCTCAGATGGCTGCAATGTTCTGTATACAGGAACCGATGCCATCAAACCTCTTAGGCGCACGCCAAATAAAGTAACAAGCTGCATGTTCGTTTCGCTAAAAAGCTACATTAAAAAATATTGTTCGTTGATTTGTTGTGAGAGAAAAATATTATATCATGACTGATAAGTTGAGTCTGTCACCGAAGTGAGGTCAAAGAGCAAAAAAAAAAAAAAAATAGTTTTTTAAGAACTGGGCACCGGCTGGGCAGCGGAGCAAGTACTAGCATCGCTCCCGTTTTTGTTGGCATTGCTGAGAATTGGCACCGTGAGCCACAGCGTGAGAAGTGATGCCTAGATGTTCTCTCTCCTCTTTGAGCACCACTCAAGCACAACATTATGGAGGGCATTAGTGAAGACGATGGCGCCCTGTTTCCCTTGATGAAAGCAGACATAGCAATAATGGGCCCTCATCACCGATTCCGCTTGTCCCCACGAACACGCCCCGCATTACATTGTCCCTATGAACTAGGTTTTGGCCTACTAAAAGCCCACCAATGGCCCAATCCATGCATTCATCTACTGCCACATAAAAAAAATATTAATGCTATCGTCGGCACGAATCAACCAATCACGAATCCGAGTACCTACTAAAATTAGTCTATGCCACATCAAATATTTAGACACATACATGGAGTATTAAAAGTAGATTAATTATAAAATTAATTACTTAGATTGAGACTAATTTATGAGACAAATCTATTAAGCCTAATTAGACTCATGTTTAGTCTTTCTAATTAATAACTAAATACCCGATGTGACATCTACTGTGCCATCAAAAGTCCGAGACTCGTGCGAGGCTGAGAAGCAGAAGGAGGTGGAAAAGGAAAAGGAGGAAAGACAGGGTTCCAAGTGAGAAAAGAGTAAGAGAGAAAGATCTAGTGGGAGGACTTAAACGGGTATAGAAACAAACTCAGGGTTCCTAATGCAAAAACATCATCAATATGAGATCAGGTCGAGGAAAAAAAGTTGCGCAAAAAAACTTTTTAGGATAAAAATATTAAAAACTCTCGGAGACGGCTTTCTTTATTTCTCCCAAAAAAAAATTACGAGTTATAAAACTTTATGTTTTTAGGACAAAATAAAAATATTGGGTACTTCGAACGTAGGAAGGTGGAGACCGGACAGATAAAGGCAAGGCGAGTCGTGTTGACATCGAGTTCGAGTCGGAGGGCGACAAATTCTGATCTACAAACGGCACGCGGACGGCACGGAGGCGAGGCCGAATCCGTGTGCGAGTTCAGACCAGCGGCTGCGGAGCTTTGCCCAGCGCGCACCCAAGCGGCAACGACGGCGCTTGGCTGGCCACAACCGGACGCGCGGCCACGCGGGCGCGGAGCGACGCGGATGGCCGAGCGCAGATGCGCGCGAAGGAGTCGAGGCCGCCAGCCCAAAGGAAAGGAGTCCACGTGTGTGCAGTTCGGATGTGCGTATACGTAGATGGAGAAGATAGATATGGAGAGAGAAAAGAAAAAAAGAAAAAGAATATAAAAGGGTACTACAGATAATTCACTGCTTTCAACAGCTAGGTGAATCTGTTTTACCAAATATTTTTCTAAAACAGCTTCCGCTATATCAGTGAAGATACTGCACCGTCCAAAACCAAAAAAAATGTTCCACTGGTGAAGCGGAGTTGTACCAAACGTACTTTTATTATATCCGTCTAAGCCACAAGCCACGTGTGTCGCTGTAGGCGAGGATAAAAATTTATGACCCCGTGCAACACACGGATATATACCTAGTATATATATAAATATAAATAAACTGCTGCAACCAGGGTCAAATCCAGTGGTTGCATAGATATGGCATGTATATCCTAGGGCCAGTCCAATAAGAGTACTACTACTTTACAATCTATATATCTAATATTAAAAATGTAAAATTTTTCTTCACTTTTTTTTGATCGGGCCATTCTTTTCGTCAACGGCCCAACTCCACAGCCTGCACTCGCTTCAGCCGGCAGGTGCAACACCATTACACCACCGGTCTGACCGAATCCATCTCGCCAGCGTGAATACAAATAAAACAGAACTAGGATACGGGATACGAGTTATATTAACCATAGGCTATTTTATACACGAGTTCTATTATAAACAAAGGCTAATTTTTAGGTATATAAATATATAAAAAAGAAAAACCAAAGAATAAGATAATTCAAAGAAATGAGTTCTCATAGGATACTGATTCTTTTCCGAATATAATAATGAGTTTTAATAGGATACAAATTCCTTTCCGAATACAATTACTTTCATCTTCTATATTATTAGGGATAGAATTTTACAAAGAAAAACACATTGCCACCTGGGTACCAGATTTGACCGTAGAATTATATAATATTAAATAACCAAAAATTCATCCCATTTATTTTGTCGGCATCCCCTAACTAATCGAACAATTAAGAGTTTCTTCTGTTTTTTATTTGACTTAGACTCACATTTATACGAGTTACAACAACTCGTGTCTAATCAATGATGGATATAAAGTCTAATTCCAATACATATTAAGGTGTGTCCTACATGTGACCTAGACTCATGACTCCCGCTCATACAATAAGTTAGATATGTATTGGGTTTCGTTGCAACGCACGGGTATTTTTGTTAGTAAAAATAAAAGAAAAAAGAAATCCTCAAGCGACCCTAGTATAGAAGGTTTTTGTTCATATAAAGAGTGGTTCATAATGAGTAGGCGCTAGTAGAAATCGAAGTGTGGGCTCATGGCTATGAACCGCCTGTGTAGACATGTTTGCGTAGCAGTTTATGTAAGGATATCGCTAGTGCAGACATGTTTCTTTTTTTGTTGCAGACCAAAGAGACAAAATGGTTCGTTATGGTTGGGTTTGCCACCTTAAAGATGAAGCAGTTTGCCAGTTTCTAAAGGAAGTCTCAAGTTAGCAACCATTTATACACCGAGTGAAAATGCAAAGGAAGCGGGATCTTTACAGCAGAACATGAAGTAGTGGAGTTTCCAATGCATATAGATGTCTATAACTTATGCTTGTGTATACTTATCGACTGAAAAAAACAATCTAGTATGGAAGCATGTACCTTATGCTTGTGTACTTAATTAACTACTTATCGACTGAATGCGTGGATAAATCCACGCGTCTTCCACGAGTGCATCGTTGTGCCAATCGAAGGTGGAAGGGTGTGGGAAAGAATAGAGAATAGAAAAGAGTTCTGATGTACAAGAGAGAAAGAATATATAAAAGTGGTTAGAATAATTTAGAAATAGTATAGGATTCCTGATATAAAATTGTCTTCTATATTTTAGGAGAAAATTATTGAAAACTGTTGGAGATAGTCTTATTTATTCGTTCCAATACTTTTTGGTGAGTTGAAAAACTCCATCTTTTTGGAAAGAAATTCTTGGGAACTTTTGGAGATGCTCCATCTCTTAATGCTACTTTAATTTAGGTATCGGTAGTGCTAGCGCCTGGACGTCCGGACGGAAGCCCGCGCGCTGCACTCCGTTTCGCGCTCCACGCGGGGCCCGTGCCGCCCGAGCGACAAGAGGGGAAGGGCACGCGTCACCTCTGATTCGAAGGGACCCGCCGTGGCGTCGTATGGATGCCCTGCCGGCGCCGGGAGGAGGACACACCGAGGCAATGCAGCAGAAGGTGGGGAGGAGAGATGCAACACCCGATTTACTTTTGAAACATTCAAATACAACAGTTGTAACATCCGTCTAAAGGCAGTTGAAACACTTGAAACATGCTTCTAAAAAACAAAAAACACCTAAAAACACTTGAAAACCATTGCAGCAAACAACATCCAAATAAAACACATGCAACGTATGTGTGAAACATATGCAACATCTAGATAAACACACTTGCAACATGCGTCCGGAAAATACAGATGAAACGTACCTCTGAAACATCTGAAACACTCGAAACATACGCTTGTAACATGCCTCTGAAACAATTGCAACATTGTCGGTGTTTCTGATCACTGGCTAGTAAATTTCTAGTTTCCGCGTCTGGCCCGAATGGTGTGCTCGGAGGACAGAAGGATTATACTGGTTCGAGCAGAATATCCCTACGTCCAGTCTGTTGCTGCTCGTGTTACCAGCACTGTCTGTAGTAGAGGTTACAGATGGGCGAGAGAGGGAGAAGGTCCCAAGTCTCTTGTGAAAAGATCGAACGAGGTTGA